CCCAGGAGCCTTATCATTCTTTAAAATTCTCAGAATTAATGTGATCATCTTGTTTGATCACGTTTCCATCTATCAACTGTTCAGGGTGGGAAATATTAGTAAAAACTGAAGAAAAAGCAGAAGTTTATAACCCAGCCATCTCAAAATCATCAGATACTAGCCTTTCTTTATCATCTCTCAAGAGTCCTACCCCCAACCTAACATTTTGTTTAGACTTAATGTATTTAAAGAAATCCTTACTATTAATTTTTGTATTTTCAGCCAACCTTTTTTTATACATCCTTTTTGATGTCCTAACTTCTAGTTTGATGAACTTTCCTGATGTTCTAAATCTCACATTATCTTCTGGATAGGTTGGTATTGCTTCTACATTTTCTCTTCGGCCAACCTATGTATAAACAATATGTAATACGTATATATATAACATTTGGAATCCAGAAGTGATATAAATAACATTCAAAATACTTCTAATTATTAAATAACTTTTATAAAATAATCTTTTTTGTCTATCGCAAAATCAAAATGTTTTCCGTAATATAAAACAAATCTTGTTTATGTACTGAAGTGCTTTACTGTATTGTATATTTTGTTGTAATATAAAACAAATCTTGTTTAAGTACTGAAGTGCTTTACTGTATGGTATATTTTGTTGTAATATAAAACAAATCTTGTTTATGTACTGAAGTGCTTTACTGCATCGTATATTTTGTTGTAATATAAAACAAATCTTGTTTATGTACTGAAGTGCTTTACTGTATCCTATATATTGTTGTAATATAAAACAAATCTTGTTTGTGTACTGAAGTGCTTTACTGTATCGTATATTTTGTTGTAATGTAAAACAAATCTTGTTTATGTACTGAAGTGCTTTACTGTATCGTATATTTTGTTGTAATGTAAAACAAATCTTGTTTATGTACTGAAGTGCTTTACTGTATCGTATATTTTGTTGTAATATAAAACAAATCTTGTTTATGTACTGAAGTGCTTTACTGTATCGTATATTTTGTTGTAATATAAAACAAATCTTGTTTATGTACTGAAGTGCTTTGCTGTATCGTAT